GATTGATTATGAAAAGAAACAGAAGCGAAAATAGAACTGATAATCTTTTGCTTTCACATCTTTCATCGTTTTGAGGTTTCGGCTGAACCCCCCTTGCTCTGGGGGTCTTTGTCTCTCTTTTGGGCCTCACTGTCTTCTCCCCTTCGATGCATTCCCAGCTCCTGTACTTTAAGACCAAGCTCTCAGGGCCTCTGTGATTCATTGAGTGGCTCCCGCCCCGCCCCCCACTGCTTATTCACCTTTTCATGCTTTTCCTGGAGAGATCTCGGAGGATTTCCCTGCCTACTACTGCTCATCTCCGACACTGAATCACCAAATCTGGGTTTGGGTTACTCTTCCTGTGTGCTGTCATGGCCCACTGCGTCCTTATCACAGCAGGAATCACAGAGCATGGTGACTGCACTCATATGACCTATACAATCCACGTGTGTTGTGCTTATAGGAACTTATCAGTCCGCACCAGATTTGGGAGGAAGTTGAAGGCACTTTAGGTGATAGCATTTCTTTTGTGTTTATACTCCTAACATGAATGCAGGACTGGCGTAGAGAAAGCACTCAAGAAATATCGGCCAAAAGATTGAGCAAATGAACCGAACCTAGATTTTTAGCATTTTGTGGGCAGTTTCCCAGGTTGTGTCTCCTCTACCCCATGGCTTCTAAGTTCTGTTCATTCCAAGTGGAGCTACAAAGAACCTATGAGACCCTCAAAGTAATCCGTCTCTGGAAAGATTGACAGTCACTTCTAGGACATTTAAAAATGTGTTTATTTAAAAGTATTTGCTTTGCCTCTTCCTTGCCTTATCTTTGTTTCTCCCCACAGACATTCTTTTGATTTTTTTCCTCAATGCTTTTTCAGATTTTGGATTGTGTCCTTATATGTTTGTTGTGTGTGTGTGTGTGTGTATGTGTGTGTGTGTGTGTGTGTGTGTATGTTGAATTATATATGCACTACATCTATTATTTTACATATATGTTACTTATATATTGCATATAAATATTTTATATCTATACATACATCATATATGTGTGTTTGTGTGTGTGTGTACTTTCTAGTTTCAGAGAAAGATAATATGCATGAGAAAAAAAATTAAAGTAGACTGATGAAATCAGTTAAGGCATTACACCAGTGTTTTAGCTCTAGGTGTCCATCTCACAAGCCCTGACATTCTAGAGATAACTTTGACAGAACTTCTGGGCTTATATGGTAGCAAATAGAGATGTGCTTCTAGTGCGCTGCTACTAGAGTTGATCCCTTTAAGTTCTCTCTAATGGAGAATGAAACTGAAATAGATATGTCCACTAAATCACCCAGAATGCCTGCCCTTTATTTATTTATTTATTTGGTACCCAGGATTGAACCCAGGAGTGCTTAAGCACCGAGCCACATTCCTATCCCCTTTTTGTGTTTTATTTTGAGAAAAGGACTTGCTAAGTTGCTTAGGGTCTCACTAAGTTGCTGAAGCTGCTTTGAACTTGCATTCCTCCTGCCTCAGCCTCCAAGCAGCCCATTTTAATCTATGAGCCAATATAGATTTTTCTATTTCAGTTGGATGAGATTTTGTTAAAGAATCTTACACTTTTTATTTCTCTTGCATATTTTAAATTGATGTCATAACTTTCTTTGGTATTAGAGTCTGTATGTGGTAGAAGGAATTCTGCTTTAGAGTCAGATAAACCAGGGGTTAAATTCTGGGTTTTTTTAGTAACTAACTTCATAAGAATGGTGAATAACTCTTAAAGCTTCATTTTTCTCATCTATTAATGCAGGTTTTTTTTTAGATTCAATGAATTAATACACGTGATTCATCTAGTAAAAATCAGGTAATTTTTGCTCACCCCAAAATTATTTTTATCTGAGTAAGAGAAGGCAAACATAAAAGACAGCCAATTAAAAGTTAGTAAGCCATATTAGCAAGCTAGTTCCAAACATTCCTTTAATTGTAACTTTTTTAAAATTAAAATAACTATCTTATCTTTATTTTTACTATTTTTTTTTTTAGTGGAAGAAATATACCAAAGCCTCTAACATAAATAAAGAACACATGTGGCCAGGGAAATAAAGTTTATTAAGAAACCCACCAGTAGTTTCCTTTGCCTCTTTGAAAATACTCAATACAGGAAATAAGATCCAGGAAGAAACATGACGAAGAAAACATAGTTTTAAGTCTTAAAGAATTCAATAACATTTTGATAACAGAAGACATTCACATGCTCAAATGAACCAAATGGTTATCTGGCAAAATAACCATAATTAATTTTCTTGGCTTTCTTTCCATTAATGTCAAAGTAAGGCTTCCATATCTGGGCCATCTGGTCTACCTTAACATCTGCTAAACTACCAAGGCAAGTGAAAACTGGCTGGGCAGCATCTGAGGGCTTCCTTCAGCATCAGACACTGAGCAAAGTGGCCATCGATCAGCAGCATCTTGGGACGCAGGGGTCACAGCTGGGCTGAGTGTAGGTGGTGAGGTTGATGGTCTCCAGGTCTGGGGTGGGATAGGAGGAGTTGAGCAGGAAGCAGGTGGGCACACAGGGCTGAGGGATGTGGCAGGGTGGGGGGCAGTTGTCACAGCAGGTTGGCTCCAGTTGCCAGACGGTGTGGGGGCAGGTGCTGGGCAGGCAGACTCCACAGCGGCAGGACTTGTCTGAGGAGCAGATGGTGGTGGCAGGGCCGGTGGGGACGCTGCAGCAGCGGGCAATACAGCAGGACATGGCGTTGGGGGTCAGGTGTGCCTTGGGTCTCTTAGGAAGGTGAGGTGTCTGAGGTTCAAATGTCTCCTCTCACTTTGAGGCTCTTATATACCTCCCCAGAAGGCGTGGGTCCAATGGGAAGGCTGTGTATCCTTAATTTTGTTTGGGTCACTCTTTTGCACTTAGATTCTGTAATCTGTTTGGTATTTTCTTGTCTATTAAGGGCTCCTGCCCTTATTAAATTAATCATGTTTTTGACTCATTGACTTGTCATTTTTGTCACAAGATTATCACATTTTATCTTCACAGGGTTCTGGTATGCTAAACCTTGCATGGATCGTGGGTGATCAGTGCACCTAAGAATTCAGCTACAGTTTTAGGAGTTGAAGTCTTCTTGGTTTTTTTCTGCCTTAGGTTCACATAGTATGCATTACATGATGTGCTTTCTAATTACTAATTTCAGAATAAGCAATTCAAATAATTGATTGGGCCATTTTAAACTCAATAAAGTCAGTAAGAATATGGCTACGTGTAGATGAATGTTTCATCTGACTGTATGCATCTCAAACATAGTTGCTTTATTTACTGATGATGTAATTCAGGTTCTAGTGAGAAAGCATGAAGACAGAATGAAATAGGGTCAAATTCACTTTCATTATTTTAAATACATCTATACTGAGTTTCCAAAGATTGTTACTGTTTTTATTTTATTTTTTTAAATAGTGTCTCTGTTTTCAAAGTTACACCAGTCTTGAAGTGAGTCAGAGTATAAAATCATTGGAAGGAAAGATCCAGCCAGCTGCTATCCTTTGTGGTAAGTACTTTTCATTAAAAGTAAACGATGTTGATTTTCATTGATTTTTTACATTAGTGAGATACATACAGGGAATGAAAGAAGAAGCCACACATTTCACAGAGTGGCAGTGGGTTTAGAAGGGGATCTGACCCCATGCAGTTGAGAACTATGGTATTGCTAGAAATCATTTTGTCAAACAGGACTGACTTCCCGTTCAGCCTGTTTATTTCTTGGATCTTCAACGAGATTGTAAATTCCTTAAGGAATTCCTTATACAACATTCTTCAGTTCAATTGGCCTTGATTCGCCTTCCTAGTGGTTGGCAGGTGAGGTAGTTGGAATGAATAATCTCCAGTGTGTGATATTCTATGAATCCCACATCCTCCCACATCTCCTTGTGATCAGCCCAAAACCCATTCAGTTAGTGAAATCTAAATGACATAATTTTTTTGGATAGCAAATGTTTATCGAATAAACACCAAGTAGAGATTCTTTGGTGAGTTGTTTCTTAGAGGCTCTTACCAAAACCAGTATATGAACAGTTTAAAAGAGAAGATGACCAAAAATATATCTGAGGAAAATACTAAATGTCATTGGGAAGTGAGTGTCATCCATTACTTGTAAGAAGAGCCTGTCCATGTTAATTAAGTTGGTTTAGGTTTTGCTTAAATATTGACATTTATCCCAAGTCACATCATATAGAAATGAAGGCGAGTCTCTTAGGTACTTTGTACCTACTTCTGCGACCTCCCTCGGATCGTTTCTTTGGCTTAAAATGTCCTTCTCTGATCCTGTTTCTCAAATCCTACTCATTCCTCAAGCTTCAGCTCACGTTATCTCTTTCATGAAAATCTCTTTCATGAAATCCTTCCAGATGGTCTCATTCTTTTCTCTGTTCTCACACACGGTGCTGCCCATCTTTTCACTTAGATCTATTTCATTCTGCTCTGTACCATAGTCTCACTTACATTTGCCTTACTCCACTGCAAGATCCTTGAAAGTGGGAATGGTATCTTAATCTTGCTTGTCTCTTTCAAGTGCCTGAGCCCATCCTTGGATCACAGTAGGCATTTGATAAATATTTATTGAATTGGATTATATTACAGATCAGAATGTGAGTATGTTGATGTCCATGTGGATGAACTTCTCTGCCTTTTAAAGGACACATGTGAGTTTATTTAGATAGGCAGGAGAAAAATAAAAATTTAAAGTAGGCGATGACCTTGGAATTTAAAACACATATCTTGTCACCCACGTGGTTTTCCTCAGATATCAACATATCCCTGTACAATTTCCTTTTTGGCTATGAGATTTATGTTGATGTCATCAGAAAGTGTAATTCTGCTGGGTATATTTATGGCTTCATGATGCATGTGTCAAGAGTCGTTGGGTAATTATAGCATTAAACACTAAGACAGTGCATGTTTTGGCAAGTAGTGGTGTTTATTTAGTTTTAAAGTAAGGACAATCAGGATAGCATTTTCCCCCCATTTCCTTGAGATCATTGTTCAAAATTGTGATACAATACTTCTTCAAAACCAAAGGCACAAGATCAGATCATCTTCCATAGTGCTTAGTTAAAGGACATTTGCTTAAACAGCCTTTATGATTATTGAAGTTCCTTAGGGCAATGTAGGCAAATTCATTCTTCTTTTCTTTCTTTTTATACTGGGGATTGAATCCAGCAATGTTTTACCCCTGAGCTACATTCCCAGTTCTTTTTATTTTTTAATTTAGAGACAGGGTCTTAATGACTTGCTTAGACCTCACTAAATTGCTGAGGTTGGACTCCAACTTATGAAACTCTAGCCTTGGCCTCCCCAGTCTCTGGGAATACAGGTGTGCACCATTATGCTCAGCTGGGCAAGCCCTTTGAAACATTTTTGGCTAGCAGCAAGAAGGTTCACACTCACAAGATTGGACGTAGGTGATGACAGAGATCCCATTCAAATTTGGGCTAGGGTGGCACTTGCTGAGCAGCCAACTTGATGGTACGTAGGCATCAGGCATGCAGCAGGGCGGGGGGCAGGTGTCACAGCAGGTGGACTGAAGGAGGCTGATCTGGTGTGGGCAGGTGCTGGGCAGGCAGATCTCAGATGGACAGCAAATGTCAGAGGAGCAGATGGTGGTGGCTGGGCTAGTGGGGACATTGCAGCATCCTTGGAGACAGGAATTCGAGCAAGACATGGTGACAGTGGATCAGGTGGGTATTTCGTTGCCAAGGAAGGAAGATTTTTCTTCTACGAAGTTGTCTCTGGTGGGTCTTTTATATCCACCTATTTCAGGGACGTGGCTTCTATCTATCTGAATGTTTCCTTATTGTTGTTTGCATAAGCCTACACAAATAACTCACTAGGTTACGTATCTGCCATGGGACGACTTCTCCTTCAGATTTGTTTGGTTTGTCTTGCTGCATTCAAACTCGCTTCCTGTTGCCATTTCAAAATGGTGTCAGTAGGGGTTCTCCATGAACTCGTGGACACGCTTACACATCCATATCTGCCCTGGCTTTCCTCTGTTCTACCAAACAGAATTTCTTCTTACAGGTGACCGTTGTAGAGTGTGAAGAATCTAGAGTGATATTTCTGAGATAAGGAATGACCCTTCTCAGATTGCGTATCCTTGGTACTTGTGGGGAGTCAAAACCTGTGGTGCTTTTTTCTACCAGGTTCACGTGTTTTCACAAATTTGAGGGAATAAATGAATATTGAAGATACACCAACATATGATCCAAACATCATTTAATTAAGTACTTGGTAGGGGAATGGAGGGAGTTTGGGAGCTAGGTTTGAATTCTGATTATGAGTTGTAAGACCAAGATCAAGTTCTTTAATCTCTATGGGATCAGTTTTTTTTTTTTAATATTTTTTTAGTTATACATGGGCACAATACCTTTATTTTGTTTATTTTTATGTGGTGCTGAGGATCGAACCCAGGGCATCACACGTGAGAGGTGAGTGCTCTACCACTGAGCCACAACCCCAGCCCCTGGGATTCAGTGTTCTCAAATACCAACTTTGGGAAAAATAATAATTACAGATTATAGTTTTATTGCCAGGGTTAAATAAATATTAAATGAGATTTACTTATGTAAATCATTTCGTGTGGCCTGAACAAGTGATTCAATATATGGCAGGTTCTTCTGTGGCTACTATAAGAATTCCCATAGTAGAGGATAGTATGAAAGAGGATTGAGGTCATCAAAGAAACCTTAATGGAAGATTTGGATTAAGTTATTTTTGATCATAAATACTTAGAAAAGAGGTAAGTAAGTGCATTATAGGCAAGAAAAGCAATAACATCTTCTATGATGCTATTCCACCCCGCTACTCTCAGCCCCTGCCCCAGACACAATTGGCTACTCCTACCGTTGTGACTCTGGTGAACCCCATCTCCACCCATAGCACTTTGTACATACGTTGATTATCTTTGCTAGATTGCAATCCCCTGTAAAACAGGGACATTATCTAATTCATCTTGGTATCTCCAGTGCTGGCATAGTGCCTTGACGATGGGGTGGAATCTGGAAACTGGAATACATAGAATTAATATTTAAGGAAGGCAGTCAAATACTTACAGCTAGCATTTACCACATGATTTTTGGATCAAGTTTACTCAGGAAAACATGCAAGCAAGATAAACTCATACATTTCAACAGAGAGAATTTTAATATAGGGAATTTGTTAGCTGGGTATTGGAGATCTGAAATAGCAAAAAAGGAAAACTGCGGTAACCCAGAAAGCAGCGACCCGCTTGAGTATTGGACAACGAAGAGAAGGGATTAGGGTTATTTGAACCCAGAAGCTTGGAAGTGGGCCTGCAGAGCTAGGCTCTGGCTTCTGGGTACTGCCTGGTGTTGCTCTTACCTCTGAAGCTCATAGGGAGGCCCCGGAGGGCTGGGCTTTGGACCTTTGCAGGGAAACATCACTATTTTGTGGATGTTAGTGTTTCTCTGAGGTGCAATGACACTGGTTTTCAGAGTTCCAAAAGAAGCTGGAGACTAGAATCTTTGCTGCTGTCAGATAAATGATGGCTGCTGGGGCAACAAGACTCTTCTTCCTTCCCTGGAACTTGTAGGCTCCTTCTAGCGCCCTCTATAGGTAGAACGTTGTAGAAAATCAGACAAAGGAGTCCTCACTCCAACATCACAGAGTATAAAAAGGTAGACTTAGAGAGTTTGATTATTAGCACACATTGTCCTAAGGGCTGCACACGTTTTAATTAATTTAACCTGCCCTATGAGGCACGATTTATTTTTAATCTTATTTGACAGTTGGCCACATAAATGATAAAGGTACGATCTAAAGCAAGACAGACTTGCAGAGAACATGCTCTTGACTATTGTATCGAAGGCATTATTATGACTAGAGTGTAAGCTACGTGTTTCTTTAGGATCAGTAGCAAGTAAGATTGGGTGATAATGACTGTCCCACATTATTCACGGTCTTAAAAACCACCCTGAAGAGCTGAGCCTTGATTCAGTAAAAACAAAAATCTTGGATTGTTGTTCACGTTTTGAGCAATTCCATTTAACCAATATTTATCGGGCCAGAACCTTGGTCTGGCAAAGGTACAGATTGAGCAGAGGGAAGGACATAGAATATTTAACTCAAGGTCAACTGGGAGACTAGGGTCTAGATTATTCTAGAATGAAAAGAAAGTCCTGGATGCCAAGAACAATTTGAAGGAAAAGTGAAATGCCTAGGTTTTCTATTCCATTGTCAAGAATAAACAATTATTAACTTGAAGGGTAGTTTGTTCTACCTTGGTCTAGGTTTTATTGATGCTCATTGAGAAAACTGAAAATGTGTTTGGGTGGCCAAATGTTTTGCCTTTCAATTCAAAGTCAATGAGCCAGCCAGTGCTCCTGTCTGACATCGATAGTCAGTATTTAAAGTCTAGCTTTAAAATGATTTAAATATGATTTATTCTCACTTTGGAAACACAAAGAGTTTTTCTTACTATGCTCATCTTAACTACACTTATCTTGTCTTACACTATAATTACTCAGAGCAAGCCAAGTTACTGTGTACAACCAAATACACAATTTGGAGGGACAGCAGAGAATGTGCCATGTGGCATATGAATAGAGAGCCTTGAATTCTCCTGAATAAAGAGTCAGGTGTGATTAAATTTCTCTTTGATATGTTGATGTCTGTAGAGGAGGTAATTGACACAGAAGGAATTTCAGGTTCAGGCAATTCTAAGTTTAGAATTCTTTCTCTGTCAATTAGAATGTATGTAACTTTTGGAAGGAATAGTCTTTCTTTAAATTTTTTTTTTTAGTTGTCAATGGATCTTTATTTTATTTATATGTGGTGCTGAGAATCAAACCCAGTGCTTCACACATGCTAGGCAAACACTGCACTCCTGAGCCACAACCCTAGCCCAGGAATAGTCTTTCTCAACCTCAGTTTTTTTTTACTTATAAGATGGGGAGAATAATGGTAGTTGTGTGATTTTTGTTAAGGACAGATGAGATTCTGCATGTAAGGCATTATGGGGCATCCAGTGGAGATGTCAGTTTTTGCTACTGAAAGCACTAAAAGTGTCAAGGTGGAATAGGGTTGGTTAGAACCATGGGATACTTGTTATTTAGAGTGCTTCTGGGTGATCTGGAATCCAGTATGTTAACACAGAAAATGATTTCTGAGATGATGTGATCAGCCGGTCCATTTTACTGATTTAAGACCTGAGACCCAGAGAGCTTAAGTGACTTGCTCAGGATCACAGAGGCAGCCCACAGCAGAACTAGAACTAAGACACACATCTCTTGGGTTCAGGTTTTTCTTTTAAAAAAAATTTTTTTTTTAACTAGCTAAGGGCTCTTGCCTGCAAAATGTTCATAGAGGTAGTAGTAATAGCACACTTGAAGGAGTTATTCCTCACAAGCTTGACATGGTAAGAGTGGCTACCTTACATTGATCCTAAATTCTACAGTGATACTTATAAATGTATTTATGAACAAAATGAAGGGGTTAATATATTTTTATTTAAGAAATACATTTGGGAAAATACATATTTCAAAAACAAAAAAAGATGGCTTTTGGAGACAAAGCTGGGAACCACTGTGTGCAATGACGGTGAGAGTCTGACGTGTGCTCTCACCATTAGTCTCCGTCAATGCTATGGATGTGGTGGTTTCTACTCTTTGCTCATTTGAGCTGCCCAATAATCCTGAGAAATAAGCAGGACAGAGAAGAATAATAAGAAAACGGAGGCTCTGGGAAACCAGGAACAGAGAGTAAACTACTATAATAACGAGGCCATCAAGACTCAGAGAAAACAGCTGCCCCAAAGTCCAAGGGTAAATTCAAGAAAACATACAACTAGATTACACTCTGAGTCCTTCCTGAGAAGACCTCACTGAATTTGGATCTTTTTGGGGGGCAACTAAAAGTTTTGTATCATATAAATTTGATTCTAAGAGGAACAGTATGTTTTTGCTTTCAGAATTAGGAGATTGGTATAAACAGAATACTGCACTGTGGTCTGATATTTTAAATATATTTCGATGACAGGATTGGTAAATGTCACTTGGACTGGTAAACTTGTAAGCAGAGTTATGACAAATGCAAGTCATTTGAGGGCATAAGGGAAGCCGAGGGCAGCAGAGCCCCACCAGGTCTAGCCAGCAGAGTTATCACAGGAGTGTGATATATGGTTTTAATCCACTTGTCCAAAAATCAGTTAATCATGTTCATTCAGAACCGATTTTTCTGGAAGACAGCATATATTAAGAAAAGGATATATATATATGTGTGTGTCTTCAAATTGTTTTGTATTTTTATCTCGGAATTTTATGAGGACTCTTGACTAAGGGAGTGAAAATTATTTCTGCATGCCAGCACAATGATCAACATGCTTAGTTAGTTAAGGAAGAAAGAAAATCAATGGAAGAATCAATGGAAGCTAGACTTATCAAATATTTTAAAAATATTATATTAATCTCTAGATTCTAGCATAGTGCTGGGCACAGTGGATGTCTTTTTTAAAATATTTATTTATTTTTTTTTAGTTTTCGGCAGACACAACATCTTTGTATGTGGTGCTGAGGATCGAACCTGGACCGCATGCATGCCAGGCGAGTGCAAGGCGAGCGTGCTACCGCTTGAGCCCCATCCCCAGCCCGCAGTGGATGTCTTCAAAAATATCTATTAAATGAAAAGAGCCTCTAGAAGGACCTTCTGAATTTTTCACTTTTCAGCCCATTCAAAAAGAACCAGTATCTCATTTTTTTTTTTCCAATAAATTCCACCATTACAGCTCACATTTCTCTGGGGTGAATCCTGGGTAGTATAATAACCCGTTCTTCAGGTAGAGATAGGCATTCCACTTTCCCTGAGAGGAAACCAAGAAATAGACACTCACAAGGCAATATTTGCTAAGTCAGAATGAAGTTTATTAGCGAAGAGTCAAAAATGGTCATTTCTCAAAGAGCAGTGAAATCGCCTAAAAGAAGGAGGTGTCCCACTAAACCAGAGAAGCCAGGCGGTAAGAAGTCGGCCAAATCCTTAAGACTCGGCCCTGGCAGTGGGGATTGATGTAGCTCTGATGCAGGCAGGAGCAAGTGCTGAAGGCCAGCTGCGGTGGATGCCGCTGAGCAGCCACGTCACTGCACCAGTGGAAGACTTGGCTGCTTAGCAGGGCTCACAGGGGTTTTCACAGCCACACTGAACGTGGGTCATCAGGTTGATCCCGCTCAGGCCAGGAGTTTGGTGGGAAGAGTTGAGCAGCCAGCAGGTTGGCACATAGGTATCAGGCTGACAGCAGGGTGGAGGACAGTTGTCGCAGCAGACGGGCCCAAGGAGGTGGAGCTGGTGGGGGCAGGTGCTGGGCAGGCAGACTCCACAGCGGCAGGACTTGTCTGAGGAGCAGATGGTGGTGGCAGGGCCGGTGGGAACGCTGCAGCAGCGGGCAATACAGCAGGACATGGTGTTGGGAGTTGGGGTTTTGTTGGGTTGTTGAGAAGTGTCTAGGTGTCTCAGTGCTCCTCTCCTCTGCCCTGGCTCTTATATA